CCCCCCCTCCATAGACCACAGGTACCAGGGAAGAAGGGATTACAAGATAGTAAGCAGACTTACAATGGGGAACACAACAGGCTGTTTACGTAGTCTGCTCAGAGCTGACAGTGGTAGCACATTGCTTCTGATAGGCATTCCCAATTGTACCTCTTTGTTTCTCATTCCTTGCTTTCCATTTTTGTCACTCTACAAGGGGGTGCAACAATAAGCACAGGTCATGTATTAACCGCAATAGTGATCATGTGACTGAAGGACACTATAAAGATTGTATGTGCAGCCATTTATCATAAAGTTATTTTTTTCAGCACCATCATAACTTTGAAGTAAGGACTATCTATACTACCTTCTATCAGTTCTAGGTAACACTTCTTTTTCTCTTGAGATCCAATATTGAACTGGACCAGGAAGATACAATTTGAAATCATTATTTGATCAGAAAATTCTCTAGCCTGACTTTTAGCTAATCCTTTTCTCTTCCTCCAGCCTATCTCACAGGAACAGAATGAAGATAAATGAGAGGTTGACCTTACATTACATCATCTTGTGCTCCTCAATGGACAGGCAGAGATATGCAAAACAAACAGTGATAGTTTAAATACTTTACCTTTGGGCTGAGATGGTGCATTCCTTATATGTAAGTGCACTGCAAGAATTATTTCAATTTATAATTCCAGATATTCAATACTTCCCTTCTGCAGTTTTTTACACATATACATGTGCATGCTATACACACACACACACACACACACACACACACACACACACACACTCCATGGTCAAGGCCGGTACTGCAAGACACACAACAACTATCTATTTTATTAACAAACTCTTCTTTTTGGCCATCATTAGGGCCTTAGTTTTTAAATACATTAAAGTTCTTCTTATGCCAAAAGTGAAGAGAAAAACCTAAACCTGAGCAATACAATATGCTAGCATATGATTAATGTAAATCATCTGGAAGATCCATATTATTATACCTGGAATATATTATTTCTTTCCTCTCCAACCAATTCCAGATTGTACAAGGAGCTAACAAGTATTATACAAACACACATACATAATGCAGCCATTATAATAATGCCAATTCTTTGACTGAAACTTCTATTTCATGCAAGTCTTTTTGTCTTTAACTATAAAATAAACAAATATAGTATTGTGGTATAACAAATATAAAATAGCATCTTTTTATGAACACCATTAAACTGCAAAGGATAGAAAAATTAGATTAAGATAGAGAGAATAGGCTTTAAAAAGCTATTTTAAAAGTCCAATTGGCAACTACCCTATCCAAATGTTGAACCAATCGTGATAAGCTATTTGATAGGTTAGTTTATCCATGTTGTGCTGGTCATTGTTAAAGTGCTGAATAAGCAGCATGAGTGAATAAATTGCATCCAATTAATAAACTAAATTTATCACAAATACTAGGTCTGGAACATTGCAGTATTGTGATTCTCTTACCTTTGATTTATTCATTTTATATTATTTTTGAAGCAACCAATCTCCACATTTCAAGGGCAATAACACCAACCTTACCATCTCTATTTTATAATTACATTTTTTTTTAATAGTTACAATTTGCAAAGCCTATCCAAACTCAAGATTCCCAAGGGGAAGAGAGGTCAGCTTCACTGAGTCTAAAGGTGTTGCCGGTGAAGATATTACCCAAACTATTTCCTTTATCAGCAATTTTATCTGGGACAAATGCTAGGAATGTCTCCAAGATACACACCAACATTGTGAAACCTTTTGCCTTGCAGGGGAAGAAAGAAATGAAGTGGCTGTGTGTGAGTTGAGAATCCCGCATCCCGTTTTAAGTCAATGGATGGATTGGTATTCGAATTACTGGTTGCCTCCCTTCGGAGTGAGCACAACTGAGCATTATAAATTAGATCCAGACACATATATTTATAAAATCAACAGGTGCGCAAATAATAAGACCCTTCAACCGCAATCCTAAACCCTAAACTCTAAGCCACTATTCTCATTAGCTTAGTTCTGAAAGACGGGGAGGGGGGGGATCGTTGGGGTTGTTTGAAGGTGAGGGACGCTCCGTCTGCCAGCCAATTCCCTAACTCGGAACTGAGCCTCTTCTTAATAAGTGACCATTTCCGCGTCCCTTCCGCTCTCTGTGCCCTCATTACTTTTTAGGTTATCTCCAGGCTCATCTCGGTTAGCAAACAAACTTGATCTGCAAGCTCTCTCCGGCGCCTTGAAAGGGAGCCATTTGGCCATTTGCGCCACACATGCCCACCACACACACACACGCTTCCCCTCGCCAGGGCACCACCAGAAGAACCGCGCATTCCTTCAGCTGGACGCGGGCTCCCTCGGGTCGCGCCTCAGAGCTGAACGGCGATAAAACCCGGCGCAACTAATTTGCAGCTCCCGACCGAAAGTCGACTCAAAACTCCCCCGCAATGGCAGCAGCGTCCGCCAGGCAGGCAGCGACCGCTCAGGCAAAAGCACGGCTGGCCCGACCAAGTGCTTTCCCCCCCCCCGCCCCTCCCGCTTTACCTGAGAGGAGACCGGCTTGGGGGACCCTCTGGAACGAAGCTCTGCTCCACCCTGCTCGGCAGCCGGGATGGAGTGTAAGAATGATAGGCTGTCAGCACCACGCTGCCCGAATCCTTTATCTCCATTATGGGACGCGCATGTCTTCCTCAACGCCTGGCGGCCGACAAGTTGTCTACTCGGGAAGCCTCTGGCTTCTTCGGATCAAAGGACTCCGTCAAGCCAGCCAGGCATGGCCTTGCCCTTTAAGAGCCCGTTCCCTTGTTACGGATTGCCGGGCAGGCGAGACGAGGCTCTTCTTACTGCCAGAACATATGAATTAACATAGATTCCAAAACGCCGCCCCCTTGCCCGCCTCCCTCGAAGAAAGCCCCGAGTTTCTAAGTAACTAGAAACCAGAAGGAGCCCTGCCCTGCGTGGCACCGAGGTCCAGAAGCCCATACGCCTCCGTCTACTCCCACCTCCCCCCCCCTCCACCCGCATTTTGCTGTACTTTTCTAAACTTTTCCAAGAAAATGCGAACTCAGGGTTCTTCCTCCTTTTACACGCGTAGCGTTTGTTACCGCTGGAGTATGTAGAAAAGGAGAAAAAGAAGAAGAAGGAACTGCCCCCCCCCCCCCAATTATACTATTTATTTTTCAAAAGATCTGTTTCTAAAGAAAGTGTGGATCACACCAAACAATATTAATCAGTTCCTTTCATTGTATCCATAAAGAGACAGTTCAGAAGCAGAGAGCAAAAATATCTCAATCCAAGATTAAATCCAGGGTGGCACTGCTTTTTCATTGTAAAACAGTAAATCTTTTTTGTTACAACACGTTGTGCTAATTTCATAGTTTTTTTTTTCTTTTCTGTACCAAAAATTCCAAACGTGGTCTATTTGATTTAAAATTGTATACACTTTTTAAAAACCTACATTACTCTTTCCAAAACCAAATAGTATTAATAAACACATTAGGGGTGTCAAACTCGTGGCCCGCGGGCCACGCTGGCTCCGCCCTGACCCTGTTTAGTGAAGGGGGAGGGAAGCCCCAATATGTCACATAACACCGTTGTGACAACATGAATTTGACACCCCTGCAAAAATATGTGTAGATGTCTCTTACATCATTTTACACCTCCAATGAAATCTCTTTTTCAATGAAAAACTGTTAATTTCATTTAGAAACCTTGCAAACACACTTTATCCACTGATTCGTTAATATGGGACATTATAACTCTACCAAAATGTTTGTAACCAATGTTCACTTTAGCAATACTTTAATTTTCTATGGAAAGAGTACTGTAGATTTGGAATCACTCCAAAACACATTTCAGTGCCAATTGTAATTATGAATGTTTAGTTATTTCTAATACATTTGTTCCAAATTGTAAAATGAACAAGTGTTATAATTAAATGCCTAACTATTTTTGTCATTTTTGCAGTGTGACATGACAATTCAAGTGGTTTAAAAATTTCACTAGGAAGTTGATCTAAAATATCAATATATCAACTAATTAGAAAGGAAAGAAATATCTGATAATTTCAAACTAGAATAATTGAAAAATATAAATATAACATATGAATATAGGCCAAATTTGTGCCTCCAACCAGCAACATTTAAATATGTCTTAGAGCCTTTTACGCTGGAAATATTTTAAAATTCCAAGCAGTTGACCTGGGTTTGATTCCAACCCAACACAGATATCCTTTGCAAGATAATTTGTTCTAGTGGTTAAGCCTAGAAACTGGGATCCTGTCCCACTCTTTCACACCCTGACACTAGGCCATCACACTCTTTCAGCCCAACCCAACTCATAACTAGGTAGGAATAATAACAATATAGTCATTGACAAAATTTCCATTTGTCAAAAGGCCATGTTGCTTGGATCCACACATGTACTATACCAATACATGATGATATCTTAGATTCTGGGAATATTTTGATGCACATGGAGAACGATACTGGCTAAACAGCTGGCAGCTATGATTTTCCCTTTTTTGTGAATACAGTAATAACATAAACTACTCTGTTAGCTGCTGCAAGAGGATCATACAATCTGACTACAAACAATGACCTGACAAAGTAGCAACAATAGTGCATTGGAATATCTGCAAAAATATCATGCTGCAATAGAAAATGAAGAAGCTTAAATGCCCTGAGGCTTTAGAATTAAACAGACAGGCACTTGCTCAGACTTCACAATGTCAATAAGAAATACCCCCCCAAAAAAGTCTGGATAGCAGATATGGCAGTACCTGGAGATGGCAGAACGGAAAAGAAAGTAGTGGAGAAAATCACAAAATATAGAAATAGAACGACATTGGGAAAAGGAAGCAAAAATAACACCAATAGTAATAGATTGCTTGGGTGCATTCCCAAAAGATCTGGAGCACCACTTGAACATTATGGGCACCAACAAAATGACCAGCATTCAATGGCAAAATCCAGCTTTAACTGGGAACAGCTAACATCTTGTGATGAGACCTTTAACAGCATCAAACAACAGAATATTCTCTTCTCAGGTCCTTGAAAAGGACTCAGTAAGTGGGTAAAAATACCAAAACCAATCTAAACATCTCGCTGACTGTGTGACCAAATATAATTTGCCATGATATTGGGTGAAGGGGGTATCACATTCAGGGGTGAGCTTCAAATTTTTTAGCAACCAGTTCTCTACCCCGTTGCTGGGGTAGGCGTGGCCATGGTGGCCATGGCCCAGTTTGCCTCATGTACCTTGGTGGGGGGGATTTTTGCCTTACCCGGGCTCTGGAGGCTCTCTGGAGGTTCTCCTGAACTTCTGGGAGGCCTGTTTTTTGCCCTCCCCGAGCCTCTGCGCATACCCTGCACTTACCTGCATCCAAAACAGGCCACATGGGGACTCCTGGGAGGGAGGGGTGGGGCAGGCATGGCCAGCCAGGAGGGGGATTTGGGGGTTCTCCAAACTGTGCAGAATCTTAGAGGATCTCCCGAACCTCTGCGAACCCCCAGCAGCCCCCCTCCAGATCACATTAGAACTTTCTAATTGGACCCACAGTAGTTTTTTGACTTGATCATTTACATTCCTTGAAGAAATAAAAAAATTAAAAATATGCTCAGTTATAAAACTGAAAATTAGGTAAATTAAAACTTCGACCAATTCATAGTAACTGTAATTTAAAAACTCAATATTTTTTCTAACACTTTATTAATAATTTGGCAACATAGTTAAAGTTTCTTCAAGATATTAACATAGGAATATCTGCAAGTACAAATATTATTTATTTTATAATATGTGTCTCTTTCCATAATCTCAGTGGGATTTTAACCATTTATAATAACATTAAGCAAATAAACTGATATATTTACAAAATGAAAATATATCCTTGGTTAATTATAAGATGTCAAACCCTAAATAAAATCTCATTTGTAACACATTTTTATAGATACCTTAGAACATATAGAAAAGAGATGAAACATAAATGAACTGAATACTCTGCTAATTTGCCAATGATTGTGCTACATCGCCCCATTTTATAATGATATTTTAAAGTAAATTATCAGCATATAATAATAATTCCATCTGCTGTTATGTTAAAAAGGTCTTCCTGACAAGAGAAGCCAATGGTTCTTATCAGTCTCCAATGGTACTTATCAGTCTTAAGTTAAGAATAGAACATCTTGATAGATCAAGAGATAATTTCATTATAATCTTTCATGAAAGATGCAAAACCACAATTAACCCAATTAATAAAAAGGAAATCCATGTTTGAGCAAAATGGGCTCCAAAACCTTCCAATGTGCCATATCAATAGCTTTTTCTACATAGTGATTGATGTAGAAATCTGTTGTTAATTTAGTTAATAAGCTAATATCCAATGCTTTTTGTCTTTTGATAAAATCATATACCACAAAATGATGAATTAGAAGTAATGTGTACTCTACATGTCAAGCATTTGGCATCAGCATTAAACAAAGAAATAAGCTAACAACTTGACCAATTAGCAGACTTTTGACCAGTCTTCACTGTTTTGTAATGCTTTGGGGGGTGGGGAAACATTCAGTGTTAATAGAGACAAAAAGATAATGTATGTCTTGTATTATTCTGCTAGATAACCATCAGGACTAGGAAGTTTTCTTGTGTTCATAGATTTAATAGTATTTTTATTTCTGAAAAGTATAATAGCAATAGCACTTAGACTTACATACTTTTTCACAGTGCTTTACAGCCCTCTCTAAGCAGTTTAGAGTCAACATATTGCCCCCAACAATCTGGGTTTTCATTTTACAGATCTCAGAAGGATGGAAGGCTGAGTCAACCTTGAGTCTGGTGAGATTCGAAGTGTCAAACTGCAGGCAGTCAGTAGACAGCAGAAGTAGCCTGCAGTACTGCACTCTAACCACTGCACCACCGTGGCTTAATTTTATATGAAACTTTATTAGAAAAAATATATATAACCAAAAATAAGAATTAATTTCTTATTCAGCTGTTGTTGTCAGCAGGACAAAACTGATAGCAATTTTTTTAAAAATATTGATTTGTTAAATCAGAACTTCCTTGATTATTTTATTTTTGCTGTTTTAGTTGAAAGGCTAATAATTTATCAGGTCTTTCTCTTCATTTTCAATATTTTCATTTCTTACTATTCCATTAACCCAAATTTCAAACCTTCAAGGAATCAGTTACAGTGTTATGGAAACAATTAATGTTAATTTTCTAAGGCTTCTAAGGCTTCTTCCTTTTGTTGCTTACATTCATGTAGTTCTTAGTCATAGTTTGTGGATTTAAAAACCTCTATAAGCTTCATCTGAAAGGGATGTTGCATTAATTTATTTATCTAATGAAGTTCTGTTTCTTATATGCAGCATTTGCTCTGTTCAGTCTTTAGAGCTGACATAATTGCTGTCTGGTTTGCTAAAGCAGGAAATAAACATTAACCAATGAATGCTGGAAGCTCAGGGAAAACTCTAAACAGATCAGTCATTTTTGTACAACGGTGTGACTCTAGAAAAACAGATGAAGAAGGTGGTGCCTATTCAGCAAATGGTACAAGAATAAAATAACAGTGGAGAGGGAATTTGCAAACAGCAGCAAAAGCGAAATAACACATTGTTAATGTGGGTTCCACTCTTCATTTTGTTCTTTAGTAATGTATTTCATTGCAATTACTTATACTGCAGCACACTTGTAACCACTAACATTCTGGGGCAACTATTTCCCTGTTTTTCTACACCGCAAAATATTTAGCTTCTACAGGATCTAAACCATAGTAGGAAAAAAACCACCCCAACATATTGTACA